TCCCCTCCCCTCCCCTTCCCTCTCCTTCTGTCTTTCTGTCTGTCTTTCTGTCTTGATGGAGTCCTGCTCTGTCACCTAGGCTGGAGTGCAGTGGTGCGGTCTCGGCTCACTGCAGCCTCCACCTCCTGGGTTCAAGTGATTCTCCTGCCTCAGCCTTCCAAGTAGTTGGGATTGTAGGTACCTGCCTTCACGCCTGGCTAATTTTTGTATTTTTAGCCTTGTGATCTGCCTGCCTTATCCTCTCAAAGTGCTGGGTTTACATATGGTGGCATGAGCCACCATACCTGGCAGAAATCACTTTCTTTGTTTAACTATAAGAAGTAAGTCCATCTACTCAAGTTGGACCAGGAACCATCTTCAGGCTCCACTTCTAAATCTAGTTCTTTAGTAGTTACTTCTTCCATCTAAGTCTTGAACACCTCAAAGTCATCCAGGAGGGTTAAAAGCAGCTTCTTTCAAGCTCTTGTTAATGTGGATAGTTTGACCTCCTTCTATGAATCACAAATGTTCTTAGTGGTAACTGGAATGGTGAACCCTTTCAGAAAAGTTTTTTATTTACTTTCCCTAGATTCATCAGAGGAATTTCTATGTATGGTGGCTATAGCCTTACAAAATGTATTTCTTAGATAATAAGACTTGAAAGTCAACATTCCTCCTAATCTGTGGGCTGCAGAATGGATGTCATTTTAGCAGGCATGAAAAACAATATTCATCTCTTTGTTTATCTCCATCAGAGGTATAGGATGGCCAGGTGCATTGTCAGTGAGCAGTAATATTTTAAGAGGAGGCCTTTTTTTCAAAGCAGTAGGTTTCCTTAGGCTTAAAATATTTAGTAAACCACCATAAACAGATGTACTGTCATTCAGTTATTTTTGTTCCATTTATAGAGCACAAGCAGAGTAGATTTAGCATGATCCTTAAGGGCCCTAGGATTTTCAGAATGGTAAATGAACATTATCTTCAACTCAAAGTTACCAGGTATGTTATCCCGTAACAAGAGAGTCAGCCTGTCTTTTGAAGCTTTGAAGCCAAGCACTGACTTCGCACTAGCTCAGACGATATCTTCTTCCAAGAGAAGGCTGTTGGGTCTTTGTTGAAAATTTGTTGATTAGTGTAGCCATTTTTGTTAATTATCTTATCTAGGGTAACTGTGTACAGCTTCTATGTCAACACTTGCTGTTTATCTTGTACTTTTATGTTTATGGAGATGTCTTCTTTCCAGAAGCCTCATGAACAGATCTCTGCAGTAGAAAACTCTCAGACTTTTCTGCTGCAGCTTTCTTACCTCTATTAACCTACATAGAATTGAAGAGTTAGGGCTTTGCTCTGGATTAGGCTTTTATTTAAGGGAGTGTTGTGGCTGGTTTGATTGTCTCTCCAGACCACTCAGATTTCTTCCATATCAACTTCCTTATCACTTGTGTGTACACTTTTAATTTCCTTCAAGACTTTTTTCTTTTGCGTTAATGACTGGGACAACTGTTTGACTCAAGAGGCCTAGCTTTTGGTCTATCTTGGCTTTTATATCCCTTCCTCACTAAGCTTAATCATTTCTAGCTTTTGTTTTAAAGTGAGAGACAGGGACTATTCCTTTTACTTAAATACTTAGGCCATTGTGATATTACTAATTAGCCTAATTTTAATATTGTTGTTTCTCAGGAAATAGGGAGACCCAAGGAGAAGGGAGAGAAGGGAATGGCTAGACAGTGGAGCAGTCAGAACACACACATTTATCAGTTAAGTTCTCAATCTTATATGGGCATGTTCATGGTGCCCCAAAATAATTACAATAATACCGTCAAAGATCACTGATTACAGATCACCATAACAGATAATAATGAAAAATTTTGAACTATTGGGAGAATTACCGAAATGTGACACAGAGACACAAAGTAAGCATGTGCTATTGGGAAAATGGTGCTGATAGACTTAAGTAATGTGGGGTCGCTACAGACTTTCAGTTTGTAAAAAGTGCAATATCTGTGAGGTGAAATAAAGCAGAATGCAGTACAGTGAGGTTTGCATCACTTATGTAGCTGGACTTCAATAAGTATTCGTTGAATGATTGAATGAGTCTATGAGATTTAGTAGGAAACATACTTTGAAAAGAAATATGCTTGATTGTTTCCTTCATAGGAACTAAAAAGAGCTTATTTTACTATTTGTATTTCATCACCACTTTATTTTTTTCATTTCAAATAGTGAGGAGTCTTGGAAATGACTGAAACTACACATTGTTGAATGTTTTAGTGAATATAAAATGAACTGAGGTTATACTATGTGTAAATTTTTGGCAGACTACATGAATGATTTTATGAGTGTGGGACTGTTACTGCACACAGCTTTCATTTTTTAAAACTATTAAGAAGGAGTTTGAAAAGTATTTAAATTCTCTATATAAGTTGAGACTAGCATATTCAACCTTTATACCACGTATAATCTGTTACAGCTGATTTTGTTGCCCCTGCTCTCCTGCTTAATAGTTAAATTTCCTGAATCTTAAAATTGGCCTTGTTTTAATCAGTTAACCATAACAGTGACAATTTATTGCCCTTTAATACTAATTTTGATTTACTTCAAATTCTTATATTTCTTAGCTCACAGAAGTGCAAGCTGAGAGTAGTTACTACAGTCCACAGAAAGTAAAATCTAAAGAAGTATTGTGTTGGGAACAAGAAGGAACTACAGTTGAGGTAATCTTTCAATATTGAATCTGTATTTTTAAATTTTTGATTCTTTAGTATTTTATAAATACCTGTTTTTATCAGATGTAGTATGTTTAAAAATACGTATGTTTATAGTTTTGTATTTCTTTTTTAATAACCAGTGGTATTTGTTGAAATAATAATTATTTAATAAATATTTTATTGTAATATGCAACATTAACTTATTTCATTATTTTCATTTAGCTTGTGTATGCCTGTGTGTATGTGTATGTACATGTAATGCTCATGAAGTATAGGTTGTGGTACAAAGACAAGTAAGATGTTTCTTATTTTAATAGAGTTTACTATCCAAGAAGAATAAATTTAGAAATGACATAATTCTAAAGATGTTTAACTAATTTAGAGATTCTACAAGGAAAGCCTGTAACATTTTTATGAAATTCAAGTCCTTAGTTCTGTGTTTCCTTTCTAAACTCTTATAGGCCCTTATGATGGGAGAACCTTTCTTTGATTGCCAGATTGGGTTTGTTGGTTGCAGAGCCATGTGCCTTAAAGGAATTATGGGTATTAAAGATTTTGAAGAGAATATGAATAGAAGTGAAACTGTAAGTCCCTTTTGTCCACCCTTTTTTGGATAGGATACAGGGATGATGAAGTGCTGATTGAAGTGTTTAACTATATAAAATCTGTTAGACTATATATATTTCAGGCTTGAGAGAGGAGCTTTACTATTTCTCTCTGTGTTTCCCCTGCAAGAAATTATAGAGCTCTGGGGAGTTTAGAAAGTTGGTAGCGCTTAGCACCTGGACAGCTGTTCCAACTACTTTCTGATCCATGAATGTTTCTTCTTTTTTGTTTATGGCAGTTATTTGGAGTTTCCTTTTGGTTTGTTAAAATGTTATTAGCCAAAATAGTCAATGAAAATGGACGCAGCAGCATTCCTTATCTTTTTATTTGAGTGACTTCTTCTGACTAGTAAATGGGCATCATAAAATCAAGGTTTTATTTTGTTTAACAGGCCAATGATTTTCCTTCCTGTTTATAATTTTGCATTTGTTTTCAGGAAGCCTGTTTCTTCATTTGTGGCGAAAATTTAAATACGAAAGGGTTCACATACCTTACGAATTCATTGTTTGATTACAGAAGCCCAGAAAATAATGGTACTCGTGCAGAATTTATCTTGGGTTCAACTCATCATAAGGTCAGAGAATATATATTTGAACCAAATTCTGGGCTGTGTTTGGGTGGACATTGTGTGAATAGTTGTGATTTCTAGCTTTCTTTTCAAATAGTATCTTCTGAATGATAATTGTTTATTAAAACATTTAGAATGCATTTATACAGCATATACACGTAGAAATGTTTGAGGCGTGCACAGAGATCGTTACTTTTATTTAGTATGTAACCATATTTTGCTTATTTGTGCCCTGCTTTAAAAATAGTCGTGGAGGAAACATGTAGAATTACCTCTGTTAATTTTTGTTACTTTTAATGTGTGGAATTGATGGGAAAGAATGAGAAATTTACTTTTTTACTATATATACTTCTTAGTATTTTTTTTAAATGTAAGAATGTGTTAATATGTTTATGGAATATTAATACATTTATGAAATAAGTTAAAAATTCAAATAGTTACCTGAGGATTAATGCAGTAGAATAATTTACTCCTTTTCATTAAGATTTACTTCCATTGTTAAAATATTTAATGTTGACCTGTATAATTTTATTATGTCTTTAGTGTTTGAATTGTTTCATAGAAGTATTGAAATATTTAATGATTAACTCTATTTGAGAGTATACATTATTAGATAGTTTAGTGATAGTGATAAAGGTCAGGAGTGTATTATCTCCTCCATTGTAAGTATTTATTAACTAGATATGATTAATAAAGTGGTCAAAATATCTCATAAAATTATGGATATTCTTTTTAGGTGGTCTATAACAGATGAAATGTTACCTTTCTTAGACGTAAATTCTTAGAATAACGTCTGTTCTTTCGTTTTGGTAATCCTTTGTGTTGGTAGACATTGTATATAAGGATGTGTGTCTGACCTATTGAGTTTTAAACACAAAAGTTCCTTTTGTGCAATCTGTTTGCTTTGCTTCGTTGGCAGGAGACGTACACTGAGATAGCTGGAATGCAACGGTTTGGGGCTTTTTATATGGATTACCTGTATACAATGGAGAGCACAAGTGGCAAAGGTATTGGCTTCTTTCCTTTATGTTTGCCATTTCTTGAACAACTGAAACAAAGGCTTCTTCAGAATAAATTGGTTTTGAATGGTTTTACTCTATTACATAAAGATTTACCTTCTAGTGCTTTGGGGAGTGGTTTAATTTTAATGTCATATTGGAATTGTCTTAGTTTTTTGGCATTTCAGTTCCATTTTTATACAGCTGATTGAAGACGTTTTGTATGATCTACTAGAATTAGTTCTCATATATACCAAATACAATGATTCTGATACATCAAATTTTATATTACATTAAGTTTTCAAAAAGAATAAACCTTTTCTGTACTAAATGCATTTTGAAGGTGATACTAATTTTTTAATTAAAAAGAATATGTTGTATCAATCAGAAAAATAGAATATCTTCCAGAGACTTTAAATGCATAGATTGTTTTATTTTATTCTGTACCTTATAGCATTCTATTTTTGGAAATAAATGACATTTAAAAATTTCAACATTTGTTATTTTACTTCTATATCAATGTATAATGTTGTGCTAACTATTTCAGTCTTTTTTATGTTGAAAAGTTAGTGAAAATATGTTTACAATTTTTTTGGTGAATTTTTCATGTTTTAAAAAAACAATTTCATTGTATTAGGTGATATGTTAGGTACAGGTGAATGCAATGAAAACCAAAATATTTCCCAAGGAGCCAGTAGGTGGTGTTGAACTAGACATTTAGTTAAATGATTATAACATAGCATGTTAAGAAGGGTAATATAAATGGAGAACTAAAAGTTAAGTGTGGGTTAAAAAAAAAAAAAAGAAAACTTTTGCTTGAAAGATTGAAACTTCGCAGAGTTGGTCTTGAAGTAAATTTGTTTTTGATGAAGAAAGAAGGAAAGAGGAGTAATTTTTTGGCTTCTGCTTTTGGAATGGTTTCTAAATGTTGATGTTTTCATTGTTCAATCCCTAATTTCTTTCACTAAACTTTCTCCCAAGGGTAATCTCATTCTTTTCCATGGATTTAAGCACTTTCCATATGTTGTTGATACCCAAATTTGCATTTTGTAGTCCAAACTTCTCTAAGATTCAGTAAATATCCAATGCATACTTGATACTTTCACCTCTGATTTTGTCCAAAATTGAGTTGTTAATATTCCTTTGACCACCTACTACCTCTGCTTCTCTATTTTTAGGCTTCTTTTTTTGGGAACTTGTACTATCATCTTCTTGTTACTCAAGCCAGAAACCTGGGAGTCATCATAACACACTTTTTCCTTCGTTTCTAGCCATCTGGTCCATGGATGGTAATAGTGGTATCACTGTTACCATGTGGACTAGCATCTAGTTTATATCTACCATCATCTCTAGGTTCTAATAGTTTTTTTTTTTTTTTTTTTTTTTTTTTTTTTTTTTTTGAGAAGGATTTTTGCTCTGACGCTCAGGCTGGAGTGTAGTGGCATGATCTCAGCTCATTGCAACCTCTGCCTCTCAGGTTCAAGTGATTCTCATGTATCAGTCTCCTAAGTGGCTGGGACTACAGGCATGTACCACCATGCCTGGCTGATTTTTGTATTTTTAGTAGAGACAGGGTTTTGTCATGTTGGCCATGCTGGACTTGTACTCCTAATCTCAAATGATCTGTCCATCTTGACCTACCGAAGTGCTGGAATTACAGGTGTGAGCCACTGCACCCAGCCAGGTTCTAAAGCTAGCTAGCTTGCCCGTGCACTCATGCGCGCGCTCTCTCTCTCTGTCTCTCTCTCTCTGTCTCTCTCTCTCTGTCTCTCTCTCTCTCTCTCCCCCTCCCTCTCTCCCCCTCTTCCCCCCCACCTCCCTCTGTCCCCCGCTACCCCCCCTTTTCTTCTTTCTTCCTTTCTCGAGATTTCGCTCTTGTTGCCCAGGCTGGAGTGCAGTTGTGTGATCTTGGCTCATTGCAACCTCCACCTCCTGGGTTCAAGTGATTCTTCTGTCTCAGCCCCAGAGTAGCTGGGATTTCAGGCATGCACCACCACACCTGGCTAATTTTGTATTTTTAGTAGAGACGGGGCTTTTCCACGTTGGTCAGGCTGGTCTAGAATTCCCGACCTCAGGTGACCTGCCCGCCTTGGCCTCCCAAAGCGCTGGGATTCCAGGCATGAGTCACCACGCCCGGCCCTAAAGCGTTCTTATTGGTCTTCCTGCATTCACTGTAGTCCTATAGTTTCTACTGCAATCACAGGGATTTAATTTTCTGCTTATAATTTTCATGGGCCTGACATTGGTTTATTGAAAAACAAAATTTAAATAGTTTACTAGATTCTGGTCTTGAGTTACTTGGTGGATGGTGATAATTATTAGGAAAGCCAGATAAGCAAGGAAAATTTTTGGAGGAAAAGATGAGTTTTGGGAAAACTATGGTCATTGAGGTGTAAATATTTCTTAGCCACTTATATATATGAAAGTGCAACTCAGAAGTCTTATGTTCTAAGAATGTTGCAAATTATTATAGTGTTATAGTTGCCACTTGTAAGCTGGTAGGTTTCTTCTTGTTCAATATAATGTCTTATGCATATGCTGTGGATTCCCTATCTTGTGAGGAGGTGGAGTATGTAGTAGTTAACCTTTCAAGCAAAGGAAATCTAGCACGGAACATCTTTATTTGTATATATGCCTTTCCTGCAGCCTTTAAAAGATAGAAAACATGATTTATGTTGTTAGATTGTTTATATATTACTTCTGAGAAGCCAGTAGTTCGTTAACCTTCAGGTTTTTCATATTTTTCACTTATGGGAATGGTATACAGTGTTACAGATATCAAAGTCCTTAACTTTCAAAACAAAATGTTGGAAAATTACACATGTACAGAATAGCAAAGAATTTAAAACTGAACTCCTGTGTATTCTCCATGCACACCAAGAAATAGGACATTGTTAGTATCCAATAAGCCTCCGATGTATTTATTTTCTACCACACTCTTCCGCCTTTACTGGGGAAGACTGCTGTTCTAAGATTTTTGGGAATCACTCTCTTGCTTTTGGTTTGCCACTTACGCATTTACTTTCTTATGTTGCATGAACTTTTTTTTTTTTTTTTTACGGGGGGAGGTAGTGGAAATAATAGAATTCCGCTGTTAACTTGTGAATGTCACATATACTTTATGTTAATTCATTCACTCAATAATCTGTTAATTTATTGCTTGCTTTTTAGGTAACTGTTTATAGCTTATGTTTTTCATGATCCATATTTACTTGTAGAGTGATGATGATGATGTTGATAATAATAGCTAATTTTTATTGGTTTTAAATGTAAGACTCTGTTCTAAGTGTTTTACATATATTAACTTATTTAATTCTCATAACTTTATAAGTTGGGAAAATTATCCCCATTTTACACATGAGGAAACAGCAAACCCTATACAGACAGGTAAAGTAACAAGGACTAAGATCATGCATATAGTATGTGGGATTTGAACCCAACCTATCCAGCTCTAGAGCCTACATTCATAACTACTCTGTTGATATTTCTTTCTTTCTTGGCTTACCTGAAACAAGAAATTTGTAGAATTTTAAATATCAATGAAATAGGAAAAGTATTGAGTTCCTATAAGAGGATACTTGTAAATACTTAAAAAAATACTTTTAGTATCTAAAACTCTTGTTTTTTTTTGACGACTTTTTTTTGTTTCTATAGTAAACGTTATCAAAAAGTGCCCTAAATTTTATCTAAGTAAATATCTAAACACATATCGAATCAATACTTTTACAAAGTTTGTAGTGAATCCTGATAGTTTGAAAGCGGATTTCACTTTGTATGTTTTAAGTAAGTTCACGGTAGTATTCTAATTAATGTAAGAAACTAGTAAATACAGTAATAAAGGAAGCTTCTATTTATTTTTTGTGTAATAAATGATATAGTAGTCCCTTGTCCACATTATAGTATGCCATTTAAATACAATTAAAATTAAGTTTCCTGTTTTACTATTTGATATTGATGATAAGCTGCTGCTGCTGCTTCTTTTCTATTTTCCTCTTCCTTCTTTCTTCCTCCTATTCTCCTTCTCCCTCTTTTTCTCCTTCTCTGTGGTTATACTTTATGTAGTCATTTTTGTTTACAACTGAAACTCTGGAAAAACTAATGTCTTTTCCCCATGAGCTTTTTATAGACACTAGTAAAAGTTTCAACCTTGTGTTCCACAAGATAAGCATCTTCTGACAATTATTTTCATTTGTGATGTTTTCACAACTAAATTGAAATACTTGTTATTAATATAACTGTGTAAATATTTGTTATAGTTATGATGACTACCTTTCTAGTCTTTTCTGTTTAAGGGAGTTATTGCCAGTGTTTTGGACTGTAAAGTAGATAGCTGAAATTGTAATGTACAACAGAAAGATTTTAGAGATACAGTAGAAGATAAATCTGAAACAAGTTATTGAATTGAAGGACAAGGATTGAGAGAGTCTTGACTCTTAATAAGAGCAGCCAAACATTCAGGGAGCTGGAAGTGGCCAGATGACATGAAAGGTGGGCATGAGTAAATGGCCGAAAATATATAGCTAAAAGCCAATTCTGTTTGTACATTTCAGACAGGCCATTGGTATCTAAATTTAAACTGCATTATATTCAGTTATCATTATGGGGGCGTTGGCTTCTGTTAATTTAGAGACATTTGGGAGTCTAAAAGAAGGGTATTGTTATAAAGTGACATTGTTTAGGAAGCCTGTTATCCCTTAAAGGACCCATAGCAGGGCATTTTTCTTGGGTTTTGAGTATGTTGATTTGTAACTGAAGTTCTTCTATCTTCAAGTTACCGCATTCTATCTTACACGTAACTCTAGAAATGTAATGATTTTAGCTATGAAAAGTAATGGTTTTTAATGTGAATGGTATGATATTTATACCTAATTCCTAATGCGAGTCAGTATTAATCATACATCTTATAAAATATGTATGAGATTAACATTGTATGTTTTATTTGATGTGACATTTAAGTCTATATGGGCTAATAGATTTGTGCTTGTATTATTTAGTTAACTTTAAAAAAATCTGCCCACTGAATTATCTGGTTAAATATATGTGAGTAATAAATTTAATTAATTTTTGTTCATATGATGACTAAAGATTGAACTGCACTCCTTTGCATGAAATAATGGAAATGCGTTTTTGTATAAAAGTTATTAGAAGGTGTAGATATAAAAGTTTTATTTTAAATAGGCCTTTCTAGGTTCTAAAGGTAATTAAATCTTGGAAAAATCTTTCTTCTTTTTGTCTGAATAAACAAAATACATTATAAATTAAAAATGATTTTTATTACTTATAATAATGGATTCATATATACAAAAAAAATCTCTCTGCCGGGCGCGGTGGCTCATGCCTGTAATCCCAGCACTTTGGGACGCCAAGGCGGGTGGATCACGAGGACAGAAGTTCGAGACCAGCGTGGCCAATATGGTGAAACCCCATCTCTACTAAAAATACAAAAGTTAGCTGGGCGTGTTGGCACGTGCCTGTAGTCCCAGTTATTCTGGAGGCTGAGGCAGGAGAATCGCTTGAACCCAGGAGCAGAGGTTGCAGTGAGCCGAGATCACGCCACTGCGTTCCAGCCTAGGCAACAGAGCAAGACTCTGTCTCAAAAAAAAAAGAAAAAACTCATATAAGAAGTGTACATATTAGATAATGACACATGGCTACAGGTGGGGCCAATATCTTATTTAGAAAACAGTGTGTGAGGAGATAAGGAATCTAGGAACTAGAATTCTGTACCATGGAGCACAGCCATAATGAATCTATTCTAGAAGAAGTTCAAAGCAGGTAATACCTACTGTTCATTTCCATGGTCATTATAAAACTCTCAAGGCACCCTGTGATCATGCTATTTTAATAACGTACTTTTCAACAGACCTTCAAGATAAATTAGTAAAACGGACTTTCCTCCAAAGTCCCCCCTCAGTCAATGCATATTGTGTATAGAATCACTGAATATAAGCCAATTAGGCTTTGCAGAAAAATATTCTAAGAATGACACTTTTGATTTATATTGCTAGTTATATTAAATAACAGGAATAAATATAGATTTAATGAATTGCTTTTTATCAGTAATATTATATGCATAGAAAAATACAAATCAGCAGGATTCTCTGTATGCAGCTGATTGGGAATTTGTTTTAAGGCATTAACTACAAGCTATAAAGATGAGAGAAGAGTAATCTTAAAATATATACTCGGTTTATTCGATTGATGCTTAAAATATAAAATTCAACTTCTTTTAGGTTCTACAAATCAACAAGACTTTTCTTCAGGGAAAAGTGAAGATTTGGGAACAGTTCAGGAGAAGTCCACCAAAAGCCTTGTTATAGGTCCTCTTGATTTTCGTTTGGATAGCAGTGCGGTGCATAGGATTTTGAAAATGATTGTGTGTGCCTTGGAACATGAATATGAACCATATAGCAGGCTAAAATCAGGTTTGTTTCTGGATTAATTCTGAATCTATTCCAGTATGTTTTGAATAATTATACAATCCAATTTGTGTTGTCTTGCTAACTTTACCTTTTTAGTGTAATTTGTCTGTTTGCAAGGACTTTGATATATTTAGCTGTTTATTTGAAGAATAAACTTGTGTGTGGAAGTTGGAGAGGTCAAGATTTAAAAATCATTGCACAAGTACTTTGTTTGCCAGTGTTTGTCAGTATTTTATTGTTACACCTTTTTACACTTTTTCTAGTGGATACTTGTAAATTATAACTTTTTTTTTTTTTTTCACATTAATGGATTCTAAGGAGCCAGATATAAAGTTGGGCTCTAAAGATACAAATTTAACATTCAAGAAAACTTAGGCCCTACTGGATTAAAAAAATTTGCTGTACAATTAATTTTTTCTACATGGTGGATAGCTATGTTTGTCACTGTTTAATAAAATACAAATTCTTTTTTTTTTCGTTGTTGTTTTTGAGATGAAGTCTTGCTGTGTCGCCCAGCCTGGAGTACAGTGGTGTGATATTGGCTCACTACAACCTCTGCCCTCCGGGTTCAAGTGATTCTCCTGCCTCAGCCTCCCAGGTAACTGGGGCTACAGGCGCAGGCCACCACGCCCAGCTAATTTTTGACTTTTTAGTAGAGACGGGGTTCACCCTGTTGGGCAGGATGGTCACACTCTTTTGACCTAGTGATCTGCCCACCTCAGCCTCCCAAAGTGCTGGAATTACAGGCATGAGCCACCGCAACTGGCCACAAATTCCGTTTTAAAGCAGTAAATCAACTCTAGAGTAAAGCATAATAGTGTAATGAGAAAGTATAAGATAATACTTAAGAACTCTGCCTGTGGTGTCAGACTATGGTTTAAAATTTGACCCTCACTTCTCAGTATCCTTAGGAAATTTAATTAACATCTTTGATGTTTCATTTCTCTGTCTCTATAATAAGTTCAGTTATTGTGACAGAGATGGCTAATTGTCTCCTCAGTATCCATCCTTCTATTTTTCATAGTAATAGAAATTTCTATAACATAAAGACTGTACATTTAAGGGGTAGTCATATGACTAAGTTCTGCCTACTGAGATGGAAGCAGAACTTTATGTGATGTTTTGGGCCATGACTTTAAAAGGAAGGCATTGTCGGAAAGTAAATATAATGGCACAGGCTGGACCTGCCATTTTAGATCCTGAGATTAAAGCTGCATGCTGAGGATGACAGAGTAGCAAGATAAAAAGAACCTAGGTCCTCAGTATTGTGATGGTACTATGTTAGCTCTGGATCCTTTAGACTTAGGTTGTTGTGTGAAAGAGAAATAAGGGCTGACCATGGTCACTCATATCTGTAATCCCAGTACTTGCGGAGGCCAAGTTGGGAGGATTGCTTGACCCCAGGAGTTTGAGACCAACTTGGGAAGCATGGCAAGACCCTGTCTCTATAAAAAATAAAATAAAATAAAAATTAACTGGGTGGGGGGGCTCGTGCAATGGTCCTCAGACTGAGGAGGGAGGATTGCTTGAGTCTGAAAAGTTGAAACTACAGTGAGTTGTGATTGTGCCACTGCACTCCAGCCTAACCAACACAAGACCCTGTCTCAAAAAAGAAAGCTTCTATTTTTGTTGAAGTTTCTATTCCTTTACTTTTGTCCAAGCAACTTTACTATTATCTTAAATGATACACTGATAGGACCTACTTCCAATGATTGTTCTGAGCACTAAATGAGATAGTTCATGTAAAAGCACACTTAACACAGTATACAGTAAGTGCTGGATGAATTCATGCCTTCATTTATATCTTACTTGAATGCCTCCCCTGTGCCAGACATTCTTCTGTGTGCTAGGATAGTATGGCAAACAAGACATACAAAGCCTTTGCTCTTATGGAGCTTATATCCTCTTGGGGTAGACAAATAATAAAAAAGTAAAAATATCATTTCAGTCATTGATAAATACTAGAGAGGAAAAATAAAAGAAAGTGTGAGGAGGAGTGCTAGAAACAGAAGGAGAGGAAAGCTGTTTTAGTAGGGACTTCAGGAAAGTTTTCCCTGGAGAGTTTATATGTGAGCTAACTTGTGAATGATGTAAGGGAGTGAATCATGCATATATTTGTGAAAAGAGGGTTTTATGTAGACAAGTGCAAGCGCCTTGAGGTAGGAACAGTTTTGGCAGCATATGGGGATAAAAACAGGCTGGTATAGCTGAAGCACAATAAATGTTTATAAGTCATAGAGGTAGACATCAATCACCCTGTTGGGTTTTAGGGACCAAGTAATATCGATTTTATTCAAAATGTGATGAGAAATCATTAGTAAGTTTTGAATAGGGAGTTATTAACTTATTATTTTAGTAGTAAATAGTAGGGTTGGAATATGTTTTCATTTAATAAAATTCAGATTTTCCTAGTCCCTACTTGTACTCATTTGTGTGCATGTATATTAAGTTCTGTACAATTTCATCACCTTTGTAGGTTTGTGTGTTTACTATGATGGTCAAGAAAATGAACACTTCCAATACCACAAGGATTTGCCATGTTGGTGTCTTGCAGCCACTCCCATTTGCCTACCATGTCCCTTTCTCTTTCCTCTTTTCCAGGGGCTAGGATAACTCCTGGAAACTTTTGTCTTCCATGTCTAAAATTCTGTCATTTCAAAAATGTTAGTGAAATCATACAGTATGTCAGCTTTTGAGGTTGACTTATCTTACTCAGTATAATTCTCTGGACACTCGTTCAAGTTGTTGCATGTATCAGTAGTTTGTCTCTTTTTACCGCGGAGTAGTATTCCATTGTATACACATACTACAGTTTGTTAATTCCTTCACTTATAGAAGAATATTTGGGATTACTCTAGTTTTGGGCTGTTATAAGTAATGCTGTTCTGAACAGTTATATACTTGTTTTTGTGTGAAATTTCTTTGGGATAAATGCTTAGGTGTGCAATTACTGGGTCATATGGTAGTTGCATGTTTATTATTATTTTTTTAAAGAAACTGACAAGCTGTTTTCAGGTGTGGCCATACCATTTTACGTCCCCATCCAACAATGACTGTGTGATCCAGCTTCTTTACATCTTCCCCACATTGTGTTTTGTCACTGTTTTTTATTTTAGCATTCTGATAGATGTGTAGTTTTAATTAGTAATCTGCCATCTCATTGTGATTTTAAAGCCGTGTTTCCTTATTGGCTAATCATGTTGAACATCTTTTTATGTGCTTATTTGCCATTTTTATTTCTTCAGCAAACTTCATATGTCTTTTGCCCATTTTGAAAATTGGGTTTATCTAAAAGTTTTAATATTTTTCATTTTATACTCAAGTATGGCATCATTTTGAATTAATTTTTTACCTAAGGAATGAGGTTTAGATAGCAGTTCATTTATGTATCTTTGAATTTTCAGTTGCACCAGCACCATTTGTTGAAAAGACCATTTTTTCTTTATTAAACTGGTTTTGTACCTTTGTCAAAAATCAATTGAGCATATTTGTGTGGGTCTGTTTTTGAGTCCTCTAGTTTGTTTTCTGTTAGTAAACCTGTGGTCTTTCCCACTGTTAATACCATGCTGACTTAATGACTATAACTCTGTAGTAAACCTTTATATTGGAAGGAGAAGTTATTAATTTTGATTGTGAGGGAACATTTGCTTAGGTTAGAAATAACCTCATGATAACTTTCATTTACATATATCTCTAATGGGATATTGGCTTGGCTGTTTTGTTTTGTTTTGTTTTTGTTTTGAGATGAGGTCTTGCTTTGTCACTTAGGCTGGAATACAGTTGTGTGATCATGGCTCACTGTGGCCTTAATATCCTAAAATCAAGTGAGTCTCCTGCCTCAGCCTCCTGAATAGCCTGGACCATAAGTGTGCATCTCCACATCCAGCTAAGTTTTTTTTTTTTTTGGTAGAGGTGAAGCCTCACTATGTTGCCTAGTCTTATCTTGAACTCCTGGGCTCAAACAATCCTGCTTTGGCCTCCTGAAGTGCTGGGATTACAGGCATGAGCCACTGTTCTGGCACTTGTCTCTTTTAATGTATATCTGTTGGCATTATTTATTCTTCTCATGTAAAAATCTTCTCATGAGCCACTGTGCTGGCACTTGCCTCTTTTAATGTATATCTGTTGGCATTATTTATTCTTCTCATGTAAAAATCTAAGGTGGTCAGTATTCCGGGGAAACTCTGTTTTATGAGGTTGTTTTAGACCCAGATTCCTTCTCTTTGGTTGTTCTGCCAACCCCTGAGATCTACCATATATACACAGTCAGTTTAGGTAACCATTATAATGTGTAATTTTAATCAGGAGGAAGGGGGAGCAAGAGCATAATGGTAGGTATGTAGTCTATATGTCTGTCTGTCTGTCTGTCTGTCTGTGTATCTATCTATCTATGATGTAGTCTTGCTCTGTTGCTCAAGCTGGAGTGCAGTGGCTTGATCTCGGCTCTCTGCAGCCTCTGTCTCCCAGATTCAAGTGATTCTGCTGCCTTAGCCTCCCAGGTAGCTGGGCTTACAGGTGCCTGCCACCATACCTGGCTAATTTTTATATTTTTAGTACAGACGGGGTTTTGCCATGTTGTTCAGGCTGGTCTCAAACTCCTGACCTCAAGTGATCCACCCACCTTGGCCTCCCAAAGTGCAGAGATTACGGGCGTGAGCCACCGTAGTGTCATTTTAAGGACACAGTGGTTGGTGTACAGTGGACGCTAACCACTGTAGCCTCATTTTAAGGACATGGCACTCTTATCCCATCGACCAAAATAGTGACATGTTTCTACACCTAACTACAAGGTAATCTCTAGGAGGAGTCCATATACCTCACTTGAATTCAGAGGGTTTTATTGGTAAATGAAAGAAGGAGAAAATGAATACTCTTGAACAATTAGCAATCTCTGCCACAGTAGACATATCATGTATGTGTGTGTATAATCTTTATTTGAAGTTCTGAAGTGGTGTAGCATTTCAAAAATGTGATATATATAAAGAACCTTCTAGCTGACATTA